TGTGATGATTTTTGTATTATCCCATGATTTCTTCTGATCAGTTTTGTCTTGCACTTGATTGTCAATTTTGAGGGGTTTAAGTGTACTAGCACCGTGTTTCCTATCATAATAATTCAGATGGGTTCATAACAGCATCAGTAATGACACTGACAGCAACACTTGTGACTTGTTTAAATTATTTTATCTCTATAAACTCTCTATAAAGGAAACCAACAATAACAATAAAACAAGAATGTTGTTACTGTTAGTTTTATTTTTAGAGAGTTTGTAGAAATAATAAAATAGTTTAAACAAATCACAAGTGTTTTATTGGTGTCATTATTACTGAAGCTATTATGAATCCACTTGAGTTATTATAAAACAGTTCTTGATTCTTCCTTTGATTTTCAGTTCTTTGTTTTTTGTTTGGCTTTTTGTAACCATTCTTAGTGCTCCAACTATATAACACAAGAACATCCAGATGAGAACACTAATGAAAGCAGCTAAAATACTAAGAATAGTGAGGAGACTTGCTGTCACTTGATCTCCAGTGAAAGTCACCAGATACAGTATGAACACTCAATAAATGAAATAATAATTGTGATAATGCTAATGAAGATAATAAAAATAATAATAATACTTATGAGGATAAAACAAAGAATGGATTTGCTTAGAATATTGGCTGATTAGTGTTTGTATACTAACATGTACTGGAGCACTCTGATGTGGTGTAATAGTTAGCAAGCTTGTCTTGCTAGATCTATTATGACTAAGTAGGGAGTTCGGTCCTCACTGGGTGCTCCATACTTTTGGCCTTGTGCCACATCTAAGATACACTTAGTAAATCCCCATAACATGTACTGAACATTTTGTTTTATGTGTATTTAAATTGTTTAATAAATTTTCTGAAATTTATCCTTCGTTTACTATTTCTGAATCAAATTCCTTTTAAAAGCAGAAATTAAATTACAATTACAAAAATGTAATAAAACCTGACATTCATATAGATCTGTACTTTTAAATATTACCCAAATCAGTGTATAATTAATTAGTATCAAAGATTGCTATTGGTCAACAGTGCATGAAGGAAACATGTACAATGACTGATGAATCTGTTAACAATGGTGCATATTAAATCATCCAACAATAAATTGATTAGCATGTCACATTGTTAACAATGATCGTATGCTTAAGAATTTTTGTATATGATGGAAATGATCAAAATGTTGTCTTTATTGATATATGAAGACTTTTTTAACATAAATATTGCTGTTTCTGGGTTAATTTGGGGTCTTTAAAATTGACCATGATCTATTTTAGTCACTTTTATAAAAATACCTTTCTTTTTCTTTTATCAAAATAGTGACATTTTTGTTTTCATTTTTTTATTCAAAATGAATTGTTTTTCTCCTGTTTCTGCTAAGAATTATTTAAAGTCTTCTCATTCTCTTTCACTCCCAGTAACCCTTTGTATCTTAGTGGCATTATTGCTTGGGGTGAAATGATTAGGATTAATATAAATATAAAATGTGTCACTTAGCCGATTGATGTTATATTCAGCACCCCAACACCTGATTTTCATAGATGAACCTTTTTTTTTGTAATCATTCAGTTCACTTGTCAGGAGGCATCAGCAATTCTTTTACCATGGCTTTCTAAATATATAAAGTATTTCTACTCAAATATTATTGATTCATAAATGGATAATCCATTATTTAAATAAAACAATTTCGTTTTTTTTCTGTATTAATAAAATTCTTCATAGTTAATTTTTGAATTGTTGAGATTATTATTTATGAATAGTTTTACATAAAGTCATCCAAGCCAACAAAAACAGAATTTTCTTGAACTTACAAATGCTGCCTATAAATTTGCAAGAGGAAAAAAAAATATATTCCTGTATGTTTATTAAAATATTTTATTTCAAATGTTTTTTTCCATATAGATATTTTAAGGGCTCAAGTATAAATTTTAAACATGCTTCAATCTCAAAATTAAATAAAGATTAGGCACTGATATCATACAGCTAAAGATAAGAAAATGCAAAAATAATTTTGCATCAGTAAAATAACAAATATGAGATTTGTTCATAAAGTATCTAGCTATTTAATATTAATGAAAAATAACTGACCTAAAGGAATGCCACTTTGGTTCTTATTCAAAGTATTTCCTTTGTGACCTCATACTCTTATACACTTATCTCAGTATCCCATTCATTTTATAAAGTAACCTTCAAATTCAGCCTTTGGGATCACCCTCAGCTATCTCATCACATTCTCTTTAATCTTTCCCATGGTCTGAAATCTCATACTTTTAACTTTGGGAAAAGCTGGAAATTGCAGGGAGACAAATCTGGGGAGTTGAGATGGGATGACAGACCTGAGTAATTTGATATTTTGTCAAAATCTCTGCATGAAATACAAAAAAACAGAATCAGTTATTTTAAATGCAAAAGTGACACAATATACAAGCTCGTTCAATGCTGTCTCACTGTCAATTGAGTAACCTCTTGTGAGAGTGTCTGTTCACACATATGCAGTAAGGTGCTCCCTGAAATGTTGCCAAGTTATATCAAGGCTGCACAAACATTTCTTGAGATATTCACAATAGTTGTGTGCTTTTGTATAGTCATGTATTTTTATATTTTATAAATTTGTTCATTTCCAGTTCATATTTAATTGATATCTATATTGGACCCAAACAAGGTCAGCCATATAATATTATATGAATGAACCTGTAGCATAAAATGTAGAATAAATGTTATCAATCAAAAGAAGTGATGTACTTGGAAGATATTTTGACCTGGACAGCATGAGATAACCTTGACAACAGACATGGCTGCTAAATGCTAGAGGCTACAAAGGTAATATGTCAAGGTATGAGTCACATTTGAAATCCTAAATAGAAGGTTTATGCTTTATTAGATATTAACCAAATGTCTATTTCATTGTGTGCATATTGAAAAGATACACAAAAGCAAGAAACAATTATGGTAAGGAAATATCAAGAAGAAAATTATTAATTCGATCTACATTTCTGCCTACAAAAATATAGTTTGAAAGATAATTTTTTTTAGATTTGCTACAGTAAATCCACTTCCTGGATGGGAAAACTCTACCTGTGTCACAAATCAACACATACACTGATTTCATTAGTCAGCTCAGTTTCTTTTTGAAATTTTATAAACACAAATTTGTCACTAGGTCAATGTAAATTAAAAAGAGGCAAACCAGAATAGAAGCAGTATTAGTTACAAAGATAATATTGAAATAAATGCTAGTTTCAGTAGCAAGAGAGAAATAAATAAGTAATTACACAGGAACTAGTAAATATATATATATGTATATATATATTATATAATTTATTTGTTTAAAATTTTTTTAATGGATACCTATGTTTGAATAGATGCTCTGTTTTTTATTTATTTATTAAATAGTATATTTATTTATTTTCATCTACTTGCCTGAATATTTAAAAAATGTTTTGTTAGTATTCAAACCTGTGCCTCCTAGAGGAAACCATCATTAGATCTGCCAGAGGGCACATATTTTTCTAACACGATTTCTCAAAATATTCAAATGGAAATAAATAAATATACTGTTTAATAAATAAAAACAGAGCATCTACTCAAATATGGGTATCCATTAAAAAATAACATTTAAATAAATAAATTAGAAATATGTCAGATTAATAAATGAAAAATCCATTCCTAAATATATATATATATATATATATATATATATATTATATACAGAAAAAATTACTTAACTGTAAATATGAATTTTTGATGTTATTTCTCTGACTTCAAAAGTTTTTGGGAATTATCCATTTTTCAAGGGGTCTGGGGTCTGTTGTTTGAATAAGTTTATTTCCAATTTAACATTCTTTTTATAGATACAAGTATTTAAGTAAATGCTCTGTTTATAATAAACAGTATTAAATAACATTTACCGGCCTGAATGTCCGAGAAATTTTCATAGAAAATATTCGTCCTTTGACAGGATTCGAACCTGCATCCTATACGGAACCTTCATTTATGCTGACGTGCCTTAACCAACTCGGCCACAAAGGAGCGTTCGGTAGGCAAGGTCGAATTTACTGCCTACCGAACGCTCCTTTGTGGCCGAGTCGGTTAAGGCACGTCAGCGTAAATGACGTCATTTGTTTACATTTGATATGCCATGAGCAGTTATGAATGTACGAGATTCATGGAAGATTGAAGTTTATAAGCAGTAAATTTGACCTTGGACAAAACAGTTCCTCTCACTCTCTCTCATATATATATATATATATATATATATATATATATATATAAGAACCTCAGTGACTTCTTAGATCCAGACTTCACATTTCTTACTATGTCACTAAATTCACAAACCAATGCTTTCATTAGCATAATAAATGCAAGTTCAATCTGTGGGCAGGACAGTGCAGACTTGGACTCAGTAGTGATCAATAACTGAGCAAGTAAGGACTGGACAAGATACCCCTAGACATAGTGGGATGAGAACAACCTATCCCTGTAGATTAAATAAAGTGTTCGGTTTAAAATTTCCTGAAGGTTATTCAGATCAATAAGCACCTGATGAAGGCCATAGGATGCAATAATCAAAAGGGTTGTGATTCCAAAAGTGTCTCTGCAGAATTATTTCCCAGCCTACAACCACTTTCCCCCCACAGACAAAATGTCACAATCCTCATGCTGCTCTATCATTATTTCCATGGAAAGTGCTCATGCCACTTTAGCATGTGTCCAACCGATCAGTGTATCCTACCACCACATTTGTATGCTACATTATCTAACATAAGGGGAAAAGCAAAAACAGAAGGAGGGATGCCATTGTATTATAAGATTTAAAATTAAAAAATATTAAACAAGAAATTTGACTAAAAAAAATCATAAAACAATATATTTGAATCCTTTAAATAAAAACATTCTATTTTCCTCACATATTTCCATAAACTGTGCTTATTACCTTTTACTCTGTAACCCTCATCCTCGATTGGACTAGTGGCATAGGCCACATCACATTGAAACACCGGTTCCCCATATGATCTCTAAAGTTAAGCAACATCAAGCCTGGTCAGTACCTAGATGTGTAAATACTTGGGAATATCAAGTGCTGTAAGCATGAATGTGCAGGTGTTGTAATGGATAATGGCTTGGAATTGTTAATCGGGGAGCTGAGTTTCAATTCCTGTTGGGTTCACTTACTTGCAAATAGCCTTGAGAAATGTATGAATCCACCTCTTCTGCCCCCAGCTATGGGTTAATTCGTAAGATGATTATTATCTCAAAAAAAAATTCTTACAATCTAAAAATATTTCCTGGATTTAAATAACCTGCAAAGGGTTGATAAGCTGTAGAAATATTGCTTGACCCGAAACCCATTTATTTCTAGTAATAACTTATCTGTAGATATATTTATTAAAAAAAGTGATAGGTGTGATAAAAGAATTATGATAAACATAAATAATCTGAATATAACGTGAAATAATCCGTTTCAAATGTTTTAAATATGTTTGACTATAATCATCAGTAGTAGTAGTAGGTCTAAGATATTTTTAGTAATAGAAAAATTATTGGTGACTCTGTTGGTAATGATAGAAATAGTGATTATACTAAGGTAGACAGGGGAAGGTGCAGATTTGCTTCCTGTTGCCTGATTGGCTAAAATGACATAAAATTCCACCTTCCATCCAATTCGTTCTTCTCTTTCCAGTTGGCCAAGTGTTGTTCGGCCTTTCATCGTAATGGTACATATTGATCTCTATATACGGCAGCTCACTTTATGTACATAATAGGGAGCAGGCAGCTGAGCCAGAGGGATTTTGAAATTCAGTCCCCCCCCACTGAATAGGATAATGTAGAGGAGGGATCTAGTGTCCAAGATAGAACTGGAGAAAGATAAATACAGATTAAAGGGGAAGCTGTATTGATGTGTGGGAAAGAGAAAGAAGGGGTGAGACAAATAAATAACGGATGAGAAATTGAAGGGGATGGAGACAACGATTGAATGAAAGGTAAAGGGATAAGATAGATGAGTTGGGTATTGATAGGCTGGTAGGAGCCAGCGCGAAATTTGATTGAGGCATCCAGATAATATGCAAGACACTGGCTATGAATCAGCCTTTTAAAGGGAACAGAACAAGTGTGAGAAAAAAAGAAAGGAAGATAACTAAGATTTAGTGTGTTCTAAACTGGATCTGATTTTTAAGTCTGCAGTGTCTGTGTTAGGTTACTGAAATCGACAGGTTGATTAAAGTACATTTTTTCTTAAGATTAAAAAATAACATCCATGTTTACTATTCTGGAGTAAAAAAAAATAATTATAATAAAACAATAGCGAAGAAAACCTAAACATGGGGTAAAAAATTTAAAAACATCTCGGGAAATATAACACAGATTTTAGAAGTAAATGAATGATGTAATAATTGCAATCCTTGTTAAATGTGGCCAGTACCTAGATGGTTGACTGTTCAGAAACACCAGGTGTTATAAGTGTAGATGTGCGGGTGGTGTGGTGTAATGGATAATGGCTTGGAATGAGAAACTGGAGAGCAGAGTTCCAATTTCAGCTGTGTTAGTTATATTCACTTACGTGCAAATACCCTTGGGAAATGTATGAATCCACCTCTTCTCCTCCCAGCTTTGGGTTGAATAGTAAGACTGGTATCAAAAAATTATCTCCAAAAATTCTTATAATCCAAAAATGTTTCAGCTTTAAATAACCTTTAAAAAGGTTGATAAGCCATGAAAAACAAAACATTCAATCAAACAAAAATGTAGTTGGGGAGTGGGGAGACTGTCTCAAATAAATGAAAAAATAGAAGTAATAAAGGATTTTTATTTACTGCTATATTTCTATTTTTATTTAAAAATTTAATTTGATCTTAAAAAGCAATAAATAATCTAGAAATATATTGCCATAAAAAGTTCAGTCGAGATTATTCTAATTTCTAACAATAATTGTGTCAGAATAATCTCAACTTAAATTCTATCCTAAGAATTCACTTGTTTGTAGTGATTTGCGAGGCAAACATAAATTAATCATTCTACAACGAAGTTTGTTGTATTAATTTTTCAATAGGACATAAAAGAAAACATACATTAAGATAGGGAAAGAAAGAGAAAAAAAAGGTTTCTTGGTTTATTCGCTTTCATTGTGACCGTGTTTAAATTATTGTTGCTGAATTCTAAAATGACATTTTTCGTGTCGTCAGAAAAATCCTCTGCCGTCAATTTTAAAAACTGAGAATGCGCGCTTATTTGAAAATTGCCATTGCTCATTAGAATTATGCCAGAAAATTGCTTTCTACAAATAAAAATGGCTCTACTAAAAAAAAAAAAAAAAAAAAAAAAAGAAAAAATGCTTTTTGCTATATTTCAAGGAATTTTTTAAAAAAAGCCATTTTTACACTACAATTCATTCTAGGCATATTTCTTTTTTTTAGTTTTCCCTTTTCTGCTTGACGGGAACGACAATTTACTGTCAAGAAAATCAAATAGGTTATTGTATAAATTAAAAATAAAACAGATTTATTTATTGTTTTAAGCCCAACGCTGGAACTAAAGACAGATAAGCTGTCTTAGATAAAAAAAAAAAAAAAAATTATTACCCATTTCCTATTATTCGACTAAAAAAAAAAAATGGCTGACTGACTAATCGGGGAAGAAGAATTCTTTGCAAGACTCGTGACAAGATCCAGCCATGGAGAAACAGCCGGTTATAGAACCTGTCAAGGTCCGTGCAAATAACTCTTACACTAGCGTCCGTGGTAATAAGCCCTAGCCTGAAAAATTGAGACAGTATCCTAATTTAATACCGGATATGAAAAGTGCTTGGACTATTTGATCCCGAAGTTAGAAAAAGATTTTATCAGTAGAGAAAGGACCACTTGCTATGCAAGGTTTTCAAATCATGTTTTAAGTTTTCTTCCTTAGCATTTAATTTTTCGATAACAAGCAATAAACGCGTTCACATTAAAGTACAAGTCAATTCACTACTGAGAAGTGATATTTTGTTTCATACATCAATCAGAGGAAAAGAACCTTGTTTTCAAGTACTCAGATTGTTGTTGTATATACAGTCCAAAATTTGAAAACATCAAGTGTTCTGTATTATTACACAGCATTACAAGGAAGAAACTAATTGAAGTCGCTCTAAATATTCTCTGGACAAGGAGTTAAGTTTTTTTTTCATATTACTTTCTTTAGTTTAATTTCTTCTTATTCAAATTCAGTCAACCACATTTTTGTTTGGCAAAACAAAATGTGGTAGATGTCGTTAATGTTTGAAACAGATTACCTACAGACGTTTTTAACTTTCGAGTTACTTTCATTCATATATTTTTAAAATAGTTTGACGGTTTTAAAAAAAATGCATTATGATGCATTTTTTTTTCATGATGCACTTTCGCACAAATGCTCTTAGTCAAATCCATCTCTTTTCCCCACCCAGCTATGTGTTAGTTAGCTAGTTAAATAAGACAGAAAGGGCTCTTTAGCTTTGAGTGGTAAAAAATCTAAAAAAATAAATAAAGGAAAACTCTGAATTCGAAACTGTAGAGAAAGCAACGGGAAACTACTCCACTATTATCCCTAAGCATGAATAATGGCAATTCAAAAATAAGAAAAGGAATCTGTGGAGAGAGTCATGATCACCTACGTTCTGAAAGGACATGGCCCTTTTCTTTTCTTTTCTTTTTTTAATCCATAGTATCTAGTAATGTTTAGCGTCAATATTTCCTGATCAATGAGACACTAAATGCAAATCTTTGAAATATTTGTTAGTCGAGACTGCTATCATTCTTTCCAGGAGGAGACCATGACCACTTTGACAGCTCTTTCTTATTGCCCTGGGATCGTAAGTTTCAGATTACAAACAGGAACTCTGGAACCCGAACCGACTTCCAAGTAGAAACGTTTGTTTGCAATATCTGATCACGAATTTCTTATCTCCCCTTCCTTCATAAAATGGATGCTCATATTTCTTCCTGTCATCTATTTTTGACATATGGTCACAAAAGACAATTTGTTAAAACGGTCAGCTCAGCTACCACTGCATTTTTTTTTTTTTTTTTGACCAAAAAAGAAGTTGCCCAAATCATGCAATATATCTATTTGGTACTGAATCAAGTGACACCTTTTTAGATTTGTCTTGAACTGAATGCATTTTAATTTAATTTTTATTCCATCATCCGCTAACAAGTATTATGCTTCATTTTTTAAATATGTTTGACACTAGTTCTACCATGATAGTATGACTTGGGCAAATTGGCATTCGTGCGCAAAATGTGAACAGAAAAAAATCACTTTTTGAATTATCTAAATAGAAAATATATTTGCCACTAGATTTTTAAAAAATTTACCGCTTAAAATACATAAATAGATGGTGTATTTTAATATTCGTTTTCTATAGCCAATTATGAATACTCTTTAAAGAAAATATTAGGCATATTTTCAATGGTAACTAAAAGAATGAATTTGAATATTCATGAGCAACTGAATAAGTAGCGCATTGCTTTTAAACCGGAGCGTCGCGCTGAGATTGAAAGAAATTGCGTTCTCTCATTCTTATAGAACTATTCCATTTTTGGAATACGAGCTTTGCCTTCTAGCTCCTTAATTTTGCTATTTAATTAAATTAAAATAACGTGTATCCCTCCCCGTTGGGAGATTTTAACTAAAAAAAAACAAAAACACGAAAACTCGTCTTCGCCGCAATTAATTATGGTACCTAAAATTGGAAGGTTAAGAAGAAAATGAAAGAAAAAGAAAACCTTGGGAGATATTAAAAAAAAAGTATTTATTACTTTTGTCGGAGTTAACTCCTCCTTCAGTCCGTTAACCCTTTCACCAGGGGTCTCTCTTCCCTGGCTATAAATAGCCGCTGACTCTTCACCTCTATCTCTTTTTCCTTCAGGCCTGTGCACTGACACCTTGAGGTAAACTCTTTTTCCTTCAGGATTTTCAGCTATCAACCTCGAAAATGTAGGCGCTAACAAGGGATAGCGTGGAAACACGCTAAGCACAATATTCACACACGCACGCACATACAGAATATTCACACACGCACGCACATACAGAATATTCACACACACTTCGTCCTTTGTACTGTTTCCATGTA